TTAATAAGTGTACTGTACGTCAATAAATTTACAAGTCTTTTGTCTAATATTTATTTAACAAATTAATGAGCTATATTTTTTATTATGTGATTATCTTACTTAACTTTTTAATTTTTTTTCGACAATCACCATTTTCAGAAGGCATTCTTTTCAATATTTTATAGTTTTCTTGTTTAAGATTTCTATAATTAATTCTTATTATAGTTCTTAATTTACAAAAATCTTTTATTAAAGTAAAAGGTAAAACTGTTTCCACTGACTAATTCTGTACAACTCCGGGGCCTTTTTTATACGATTCATCGTGATATATTTCGAAATATTTATTCCATTCTATAATTTTTGCTAGCCATTCATCAGTAGGTTTAATAAGCCCTCCATAAGATAAATGTTGCACCCATGACGGAATGCTATAGTTGTAATGATTTTTAATTTTGTTAGTGGAATTAATTAAGTTTGGGTATTTTTCTTTATATTTATAGGCAAAATATCCTGCTATATACTCGAGAGCATCGTAGGAAGTTTCTTCAGAGATTGTGTTAAAGTCTAGATTGCATGTAGAGTTTCCTGAAGATTTATTTGAAGAAAAAGTAGTTTTACATTCAGTATATTGGTCTGTATTTTCACTTGATACTTCTACATGTGCTTTCTCTAAAACTTTGGGTATAATATATTCCTCTTGTCTTCGATCTGTAGTATTTACTTTTGACTCTAAAATACCAGGATTCTTACCTAAAATAATCAATCTAATCCTATATATAGCATTTAATGGGCTTGGATGTTCATTAGGACCCCGGCTTCTAATTTGAAAAAAAAAAATTTTCCAGACAATCTTGATTTAAGTGCAGATGTATTTTATATCAAAAGTCGATTTCATATCTTGAAAAAGATCAATTAGCGATTTCATTGAGATTATCATTCCTTTCTGGAAAATTTGGAGGGCATTTTTTCCACTTGCTCTCATTGTTGAGATTATTTTTATCATTTTATTTAAATGTTCTTCTTGTAATTCCAAGTCTACACCATATCCATTTTTGCTTGGAACAGAACCTTTTGGTGCATAGCTATTAAAAATGTCGAACCACATATTTATATCTCTAATATACGTTTCATTGATAATAATAATTGATTCATAATAAACGTTTCATTGATATTCACATTCAATTCTTTCCATAAACTTATGTTACTGCAACTACAGTCACTGACGCAAGCTACTACATTATACGATAGTAAATAAAGTTCTGCTATTAATTTTAAAAGTATTTCTCTTGTCATTTTTTGATCAAACCCGATGTAAACAGGTTGCTTCCAATTTGAAAAAAGAAGGTTATTATTGCAACCATACACAGCACACCTAGTACTCAGCATTTTGTTCTTCACCTAACATAAAAATATAGCTTTAAATATTTAATGACTTATATTTAAATCATCTTACCTTATAAAAAACTTAGTCAAATAAAACAATTACAGAAATATTAAAATAAATCACTTCGTTAATCACAAAATTGGACGAATATTAAAAGCGAAAACTAAACACGTGCACACCCTGCTCTATGTAAACAGAGAGGTCAGGACTCGTGCTGACGTCACTAACTTGCCATTCCTGGCTAACATTGTAGAATAGGAATCTGGCTATCCTTGTAGTATACAGTCCTTGGGTTCTGGCAGAGCGACCTAGCGGACCGGTGCGGAGAGAAGTGGACCGGCAACTGCTGGGACCGTGGTTCGTTCCCAGTACAGGTGAGAGGTGTATTAATAATAATAATAGATATTTGTATTTACAGGCAACAGATGGCGACTCCGGAAGGCTGCAGGCGGGAGAATCGGGCCGCCAGCCGCGTGCGAGGGGGAGGCTGCGGCGTGGGCAGGAGGGGGAGCGCACGCTTTTTTTTCAACACTGAGATGAGGAAAAACCGAAGAAAAAATTTTCGGCCACGTGACGCCGTCCCTTTTGGGCGCGGAGTAACGTGACCGGATATGACGTAGGCGCATATTTGGAGGGCTATATCTCGCGAAGGGTCGTCCGTACGGGCATGGTCCCATTGACTTTTATGCTCGCACAGGGGTGCTCTACATTTTGGTGGGGCGAAAATAGCGTCATTCTGTTCTATATTTTAGCTCTTTTTCACGGACTTTCGACATTTTAACAGACAATAGTCTGTTAAAATGTCGAAAGTCCGTGAAAAAGTTAACAAATTTAAGACGAAGTGCTTGGAGCACCTGCAATCTTACCCCTGCAATTGCCTATCGGACCGACATCTATGGTTCGAATCCTCGATCCTCACAAAACAAACCGATCAAAAATCGAAAAAAGATTTTCCGATGACAGCTCCACAGAACTCCTCGTCGTCTGCCGACGCCATGTTTTTCCTGAATTTGAACTGTGTACCTGACACAGTGTCCCCTGCCAAAACCTCACTTTTTTCTGAAACTAACGCGAATGACACCGAACAAGTTCTTATGTTTTTCATTGTTTTATTTGTTACTCTTTCTTTTCGATTTTATTCGTTTAGGTCTTTAGGACAACATTTTTTGAAATTGCTTCATTTTACAGCTTCATTGATTGAGAAATAAATAACACAAAATCCGTTCCGAAAAAAACGATATCACAAAGCGTCTTCTTTTCACGCACAATCCGCAGGAGCGTATTTTGTGTGTATAAATACCGTTAATCAAAGCTAATTAAATTATTATTTTATAATGAATAATGTATTTTTCTTACAGAATTTTTTTTTAATTATCCAATTTCTTTATAGAATACTGTATCTGTAAATACTGTACTGTATATTAAAAAATGTTCAAGTTACATCTCTCAAGAAGAAACGATAAAATTCTATATACAGTAATTCAAGTTATATCTCAATAATTGAGCCAGTGCTGGATTTCAAATGTGCATCTCTCCACCTTCGCAGCTAAGCAATGAAGTGTAGGGACTGTCCATAAATGACGTCCACAGTAGAAGGGAGGGAAGGGATTGAGCTTCAGTGGACGTGTTTTATTTCATTCAATTTTATATAGTTAATTAACGGGAGACAATAGTCTCCCAGACATCTTAAAACGCGTGTATTTTTTAATATTTTTAGTGTTGAAAAATGATGCCCTCAGCACCTTCCTTCGATGGTGTGAAGATCGCACCGAAAAAATTTCAAAATTGCACGAAAAAAATTTTTTACATAGAGCTACAATGGAAATCAGTGGGTACAATAGTACCCCCGCGTTTAACGGAGTAAGTCGTATAAGCGCGACTAACCGAGGTGGGCCGATCTGATTAACATTTTCGAGAAAACGCTTATTGGTCGATATCGAGTCAATCATGATAGAAATGACCAATTAGAGCATAAAATGCGTAAAAACAGGATTTTTAAAGCCAATAAACGGCAAAAAAGTTTCCCATAGACTTAGCATTGAAAGTTTGAAATGTGGTGTTTTTTGGCGATATTTATTGGTAAATGGTGTTGAAAACATGTTTATTCGTCTAAATACTGTCAAGCGACTTATCATTAGCAAATTAGAAGTGGAAAAAAAGATTAAAACACGCGATTTTATAGCGATTGTTTACATACTTCGATGTGGTAGCCTTCGGAGGCGTGGCATTTCGCGGGAATATTTCCAGCAATTTTTTTTATAGGTGGATCTAATAACAGACATATAAATTAACCAATTACAGTGTAAAAGAAGTTTAATATCGATGTTATCTGCCAATAATCTCCATTTTTACCTCTACTTGCTGTATAATTTTAGATGGTGTATTTTTGGAAATTCTGAGATATTTTTGGCCCGGGGTTTGGTACAAAGAATTTAATTGTTGTGACAGTTAAAAAACACATACAGGAAGACGATTGAGAGCTTAGATAGCATCAGACTTGTTTACAGTTTGTAAAATACACTTTTGAAGTTGACAATTTTTTTTGAAAAATTCCTAAAACCAGGAGACTTTCTGTTTTTCGTTAGGAATAAATAAATTTAAAGTAGTTTTCTTGACTAATACATCAAAAACACATGCCCACAAACATCCAAAATGAAAAAATCGAGAAAAAACTATGAGTTTTGAAAAATTGAATTTTGAAACAGGGGAGACTATAGTGCCCCGCGCGCTTAACTTCGCGAAAGTAACACTTCGCGCGTAACACTGAGTTAATGCATTTTATTATATTTATTTCAAAATTTCTTGTACGTTTCGTTTCTACTTATGGTATCCATCATTCGTAAAATGATAAAGGTTTTAAGAGAGCTGAGTTTTGTTGGAGGTCCAAAGAAGGGAGGGAATTACGAAAACTTGGACAAACAGGGACAAGGGAGAGGAGAGTAAAAATTACATTTCGTAATTTATGGAAAATTCCTTACAAAAAAATAAAATATTGATAAAATAGAATAACAACTTCGATAATTCCAACATTACATTATATGATTAGGGTGACCATACGTCTCGACTTGTCCGGGACAATCCCGGATTTCTCCCGTTTTTAATCCTCAAAAGTAGAATAAAATTTTAAATCATTTTGTGTCTTCTAATTTATGAGTCATTACATAATAAATTTTTGAAAAATTAATCTAAATTGTAACTTTAGCCATTTTTAAACCCATTTTTTACTCTTAAAAACCGTTTCGCATTTGACAATAAACCATATGGCCATTTTACATGATGTAACCTCGTGTATTTATTTTTATGATCTTAATTTCATTCAAAATATCAGAAATTTTAAATATATTATAACAGCTTAAACATATATTTTTATAATATATATTTTATACATATTGTGTTCTAATTTGTAATGAACACGACATATTCCTTTGCATATTGTAATGAGCAGCGGCTTCGTTCTTATTATGAGAACAGTATAGTAATTAAAATCTACGATAATGTATATAAGTTTACATATTAACGAATATTGGTTGAGAAAACTATCGATAATCTAGAGAATTTGCCATTATTATGATATTTTTTTAGCAAAAATATCTTTTTTGGAGAAATTTATTTTGTAAATGAAAACATCTTTATTAATATGATGAAAATAATAATAATAAATTGTATAAAGTCAATCTCAAACGAATAAATTGATAGAATCCGTAGATTTTTTTTTTTGTTTATCAATGTTGGATGTCAAGAAAATTGGTAAATAAATAAGAAAATGTCACGTTAATTGGTGGCATTATGTTATAAAAGAATTATAAAGGAATTAGTGAGTTTATCTTCTAATTGGCTTAATTAAATGCAATGAAAGTTGTCAGTTAAAATCGAATTTTACTTAATCGTAATAACTAATAATTATTTTTCGAAGCAATTTGATGCATGGCATGTCTTGAGATAAAATCTATAACCATTAAATTATTATTAAATTTAATCATTTGATTAATGTTTATTAGTGTGAAATATCTTAACAAGACCAATAATGAATTTTCAGTGTACAAAGAGCTACCAAAATTTGTAAATCTGACTAAATTATCAGTTATCAGTTTATTAAAATCTTGAAAATATTGTATGACATTTTTAATATAGAATTAAAATTATGAAATAAGTGTATAATGCATTTTGATATTTTGTCGTTCATTTCTTATTTGAGAACTGTGTAAATCATAGATTACATAGTTACTATTATACAAAGTTTACAATTTAAAGAATAAAACACTGATCTCTACAGTTATAAATGGTAATATCTTGTTCTATGGACAGAGCTGTGCAAATAGATGAGTCAGAGAGGCAATTGTCCAAATTAGAAGAAATTTAGTATTCTATAATGTCAAGCCATCCATAAAGGTGTCATAATGTTCATAGAAGTATAAGTATATTGGCACAGTTCTTGGCCAAAATTATTTGGGATAGTCCTGGGTATGGAGATAAAATGTTTCATGCTAAAAGACCCTAAAAGTTTGTTCTTTTATACTAAATTATGATATTACAGAATTGTTATATTTTGAATAATTTGATTATATTTAGCGATAGGTATAAACAACAGTATTTCTTTATTCTTGTTGAATATTTGCTTTATTTTGTCAAAGATATTTGTAAAAAGAAGAAAGTTTCAACTTAACTATTGCTACTTACTGGATAATAACACAATAAACACTGCTTAAATCTTAGGAAATCCAGAATGAAAATTTAATTTAATATTGGAAAATATTTTGACTAACATTTTTGATCAATATCGATCTTCATCAGGTTGCTTACTTTCTATAACTAGACTGTATCAGAAGTATACTGTTACAAATTTTAAAACTAGTATATATTGTTAGATAATGTGAAATATACAATAAACATTTTTTAAATTAAATTAAATTTTTGTTCTAGATTTACTTTGGTGTAAGATGTGTTTATTAAGAAAATAGTTGCTTATTCAACTGTTTTTGAGGATGTTAATTTTTTAAGGAATATTATGTATACATTGATCAATGTATAAATAGGAATATCTTGCTCTATCCCATACACAGTCAATTAAAAACAATCAATGAAAGACAGATAAGGGAAAATAAAATTTTTTATAATAATTACAAATGATTCTTAGAAAAATGAGAAAGATCTTGTAATGACTATAAACTATCTGTGAAAGTTCATTATGTCTGCAGTTTTCTTGAAATTTTTATTCCCCTTCTCCTTCTTGTCCTAGTTTGTCCAAGTTTCCATAAACCCCTCCCCTCTTGATGTCCAACAAAACTTGAACCCCCTTAAAACCTTTATCACTTTATGAATGATAGTTACCATAAGTAGAAATGAAACATACAAGAAATTTTTAATTAAATATAATAAAAATGCATAAACTATATAAAATTTAATGAAATAAATGGGTGTCCACTGAAGCTCAACCCCTTCTCTTGTCCTTGTCTGACTTGTCTTGACCCACTTCTTTCCTTCCAGTGTGGATATCATTTATTGACATCTCCTTTTAGAAAGTATGATTAAATCATATTTTTAAAATTATTTTTTGTGAAAGAACATGGGATATGTCAGAAAAAGAATGTTTATATAGAAAAGATACTAAATGTTTTCAAACATAAATCAAAGCCTTGATATTCAGTTAACCAATAACTTGGTTATTACATATTTAGTAGCATAGTTAAACCTCTAAATAATCCAGTTGTTTAGGTCCAATACTATATACTGTATATCTTTCTGTATATATTTTGCTATTTAATATTCTTTTAATAGAATTTCTATTTTGTTATAAAAGATAGCCAAGTATAATTTTAAATAATGTAAATGATATGTTAGAATATACAGCATATACAGGGTATTCAGAAATTCCTGTTACAAACTTCTAGGACTTGTAGAGGGGAGTAAGTACATAATATTTTGATTAAGTTCCTAATCAAAATATTTTGATTAAGTTCCTAATCAAAATATTATGTACTTACTCCCCTCTACAAGTCCTAGAAGTTTGTAATGGGAATTTCCAAATACCCTGTATATATATATATATTCAATCATATAATCATTGTATTTTATATATATATATAATACAATGATTGATATGTAAACCTGAAATCTGTACATTAAAAATAACAGCTTTTTAGCTGAAATGTTTCAGATTCACATCAAATGAATCTGAAAGATGTAAACATTTTTATGTGTGTGTAGTGTATGTATATACAGAAAAAACTTTATGATTGACAGTCATATTTGAATAACATATAATGTAAAACATACCTTAGTCAACTGTTTTGTCATGAAATAAAAAATTGTTCCATTTGTGTTTCTTGCACATCTCTTCATTTTATATGGAGATATCCCATATAATAAGTGTTCAGTCCCAGGTGAATCACTATTTATGCTAGTAATAACATAGTGATCTCTTCAGGAGAAAGTTTTCAGTAGTTGATCTGTAATGTTAGTTACTGTTACTGCAAATTTTCTAATAAATTTGTTTATGGCAAAAAAATATTATCCAGTTTAGAACAATAATATACAAGTCCACAGTCTGATTATCTTTAAAAATAAAGAAATAAAATAAAATAAAAATTACTGTATACAATAGATTAATATTCTCACCAAATATTGTATAGTAGGACAGAGAATTCACTGAGTCTGGCGTTATAAATGCTTCTTTATCACAAGATTTATGTATTCTGTTCTCCTTCTCAGTATATTCTGTACGTTCTTTTAAAACATTTATTCTCCTGATGATGATAATTATAAATTTGTTGAAAGTTCTTGCAATAAAAAAGCATTTATAACACCGAACTCAGTCAAGAAATTATTTAGCTAGTTGATAAACCAGCTAAAACTAGTGTGGTAGACACTGGACCAATCTATTAATTTATGTTTTATGAATTGTTCTTAGAATACTTTTTATTAAATTGGAATTGGATTTAAATTGGTATTATAAATTCTTATATTATTATAATTAGTATTTATACAGCTGTTATAAAGTTAAAGATGATAAATGCTGTTTTATTATTTCTTATTTTAGTTTGCATGTGCAAAATGAAGTTTACAATGAAACGTGCATATTCAAAAGTATTTTGTCGAAGAATTTTATTTGAAAAAGTAAGTTTGCAAAAATTATATTATATTATATTTTTTACATAGTAATGTAAAAGTAACATCAATTCTTTGTTTTATTTTTTATTACAAATTTATCTATTGAATTTTTTATATGACAAAATTTGAAGGTAGATGAATTGTTGCAGAAATTAACTCATATTATTTTATTTGTGACTTTATCATGTAATTTGTAATATTTATTTATAATAAAATTAATACAAGTGAAAATTATGGAAGAAATTTGACTTATTATTCTACTTGTATTACAGTATTTTTATATAGTTTCTAAACAATAGAAACATAACTAAACAATCGCCTTAAATAATCAGGCTATAACTTCGCTAATTTAATGATATAAATTAATAAATTATTGAAATTATAATTATTAATTCAGTTAAGAGATTGCACATAATGTCTACTTCTAGTAGCAAATTACTTAGTATTAATCATTAAATTAGCAGAGTTATATCCTGATTATTTAAGGTAATCATTTGGTTATGTTTCTATACATAATCAATATACATATCAGGCTTCATGTTTGATATACTTATGTTTCTGAACAATATTAAGATTATATATTTAATTTTAATATTTTTGTATTTGTCAAATTTTATTAATTGAGTAATTATTATTATTTTTTTTATTTATTTTTTTTTGTTTTTAACAGGACAGGCACTACTAATCTTTTGCATTACCTAATAAATTGATTAAAAAAATAAAGAATTATATCAAATGTAGAAAAACAGTTCTATTTACAGTATTTGAAATTTTTTAATTTTGTAAACTTTTTATATCTTATTAACAAAAACTGTTTCTGTTTTTAGTTAACAAAGCAGAAATAATTTCCTGAAAATAATAACATAAGAATTTTCATGACATCACATATGGAGATCTCATAATTACAAAGTAAGATTGTAAATTAAATTATTTTATTGCAAAACAGTTTACAAAGTACAATCTCTATATTTTCAGACTTATACAATTATCTCCATGTTATTCATGGAAGACAGATGTATCAGATCAAAATGGTTGTGATTGTAGTTTTGTAAATTGTGCACTGATAGTCTAAATTTAATTTTTTTATGCTTAATTTTAATATATTAATAAACTAGGTATAGTTTGTTTTCTCTCCAAGTACTGTATGAACAAAGAATTGAGATGAAATGCTAGCAAGTCAGTATTATTGTTTCGGGGCCATCTATGATGATCACTTGCTGCTACCATGGCGGTAATGTCATCATTGGCATAAAAAGGAGTTTAAAAAATTGCACATGTTTCTGCTATCAACCTTGGACATTATCACTTTGATCCATTGTGTCTCGAAAATAAAATCATGGACCCCTGATTTTTATTATATTTTTTATTTCCTCATTTCATATTATGTAAAATGACAAGGTTTAATCAAAATTGATCAATCAAATTTTGAGAATGAACTCAATTCTATAAACCACATAGAAGAATTTTTGCAAATATGCCACTGTAAATGCACATTTAATATATTGTTTTAAATTGTGTATTTAATTGCAATATATATTAATTTATTGTTTGAAGAAACGAATATTTTTGTTTAAAAAATTTTAAACTTTAAGTTTATTAATAAACATATTCAAAATGTAAAAGGAAATATTCTAGAATTTATTTTTAATTCAGAGCCTTAGCTACAAGTGGGTTATGAAGTGGCTAGATCCCTCAACATAGTCAGCAGTGCCCATATGCAGTATAAATAATATGCTTTCACTTTCTTCATATAAGCTGGGCTACTGTTATGTGTTTTACACTTGGACTATAGCTAATAAGTTTACTGGTACTGGCTGGAAAACAGAAAAATAGCAGTCAGAATTTTTCAGCTTGTCCCTGGCCCCACTGATTTATTTAGTTTAAATATCATATAATAATATAAATTTTATTAACATTGTATAAATTTATTACACTGTGATGTGACAAACATATCNTAATAATAAACAATATTTAGTGTAAAGAGTGTATATTAAACATCAGTTGCATTCTAAAATTAGCTTCTAAAATTGAATGAAATCAAATAAAACATTTAACCATTATTATCATTTCTGCAAATTAGACATTTGACACTTTATCTAAAAAGAAAATTTGAAAGTGAAGTTCTTGTTAAAATAAAAATCTTTCCAGGATTTTAATGTTTAAAAACTATTTGATAAGTAGAAAGTTTCCAGTCTATTTTGAGATTAAGTATACTTTATAATACTTTGAATAATTAGTTATTTGGGATGTAATAATTTTTATTTGTTTAAATAATTGTTAACTTTTTGAATAGTTAAGTTATTTTACATAGCATTTTTCTATTATTTCATTGAAAGGATGTATGTGAGAATTTATAACAGTTTATAAATGTATTCTCTTCATATATAAGAGAAACAGATTAATTTCAGATTAAATAAACAGATTAAATAAAACTGAAAGATAAGTTTAATTTTAGTCTATTAAAAATATTTGCATAGAATGTTATTATTAATAAAAATTTGATTCATTTACTTTGAAAATAAATTTAATTCAAACACTATTATATAAACACTATATGAATCAGAATAACATTATTAACTAATTAAAAGCTTTTATTGGAGAAAATTTAATATCTATTAAAATATTTTCTCATAATTTACTTTTTGTTTAAGATAAANAATTGTGCCTAAGTTTTGGATCATCTTTGCATTTTTAAAATATATTTTTAATGAAAATATCATGTTTCCTATGTAGATTTTTCAATTGGAAATTCGAGGAGATAAACATACCAAAGGAAATCGAATCGAGGGGCGTAAGTCAATTGGAATTTTTTGTTTTGTTAAAAAATCAATAATAACGATCTCGAAGAACGCGTTCATAATTATTATCTCCACTTTTATTATAAAGAACTAATACATATATATATTATTATTTTTCAGGTTAATGATCCTGGTGTGCTTCCTTATTATCCGTATCGTGACGATGCCACGGCTTTATATGATAGCATTTTCGATTATGTTGGAAAAATAGTTAAAAATCATTATGGTAAACCATATTTTCTAATTAATTATATGCCTATAAATCTGTATTATATTAATAAAAATTAATATAGTCTAAATTTTTAAAAATTTTATCNGCCAAAGTGACATCAAGGATATGTGGAAACTTCATCACGACAATGTGCCAAGCCACAGCGCCTTCATTGTCAACAATTTCCTGATCAGGACCCACACCCCATTGGTTTCACAGCCACCTTACAGTCCTGACCTGGCTCCTGCTGACTTTTTTTTGTTCCTCACTTAAAAGGGGACATGAAAGGGAAACATTGGGACATGATTGAAAGCATCAAGGCTTATATCACATCAGCCCTAAAGGAGATTCCGGAGAAGGCCTTCCAGAATGCCTTCCAGGCCTCGAAACACTGCCTTCACAAGTGTATTGATGCAGGAGGGTTCTATTTCGAAGATCTTTGACTAACTGTAAGAATATATTCAATAAATGATTTTTTATGAATTTGGTCACATTACTTAAGGAACACATCTTGTAGATCCCCTTATATATTTTTTATATGAATTTGCATAAGAAAACATAATGTAAGATAAACTCTAAGTGATTAATTTGATTTCAAGCATTCTAATTGAAAATGTAGTAAGAATAATGCAAATGTTAAAATAAATTGATCAACACATCCAAGATCAATGCAAACAGATTGACAAAGTCAGAATTTAATGATAATTTAATGGTATCAATATAGATATACATTAAAGTAAGGGTGGATATGTCAATGTCTATTGAGCAGTGCATAAGCTGTAGAATCTAATAGTGTTAAATTCAATCAAATATGGTAGGCAGTCAACTTCAAACTTTGCATTTTTAATGTAAATCAGCATTTCTGAATAGTAATATGTCTTCATTATTAATTAACAAATTAAGCATCTAAAATTTTTAAAAATTTTATCAGAAATATACATAGGGCCTATATACACACATACACAGTCGAACCTCCACTAACGGCCACTTCTAAACGGCGGTCATTTCTTTTTGAAATGCATATAAAATAACCTCCCAAAACGGCCATTTTTATGCTCTCGTCAGTGCAGTGGGCGTTGTTCATAGGTTTGGCTGTACATACATAACTCTAATATGTAGTCTATAAGTAAAGCATGGCTTTAATTTCTACATCTAAACATTCGAAAATCTAATTTATAAATAACCGATGATCTAGGACATACAGATAATCACTACAATAGAAAAAAAGTCCTCAAATTTTAAATTTATCTACAGATTATCCAGAGAAAATATCGCAAGATATAGAATTACAGAACTGGAGGAAGGAACTCGTGCGAGAAAAGAAAGACGGAGGATGTCAACTACAAGTATAATTTTTAATACTACATACTATTTTATTTGAAAAAGGGCGTTTAGGCCTATATAAAAACAAATTTAATTTAACAGGGAGTACCCGGAACTGAAAATGGTTTCGGTAGCAGACTCCAAATCACCGACACTATTACGAGTATTATCGCTAACTGTACCATATTTCACGCAGCTGTTGACATACCTCAATTCGAGGAATGTGCTTTTGTACCAAATTATCCTTTACTATTGACGGGTCCTATACCTAGAAGCAAGGTAAAATATACTTTAATTCGACTTAAATTATAGAAAAAAAAAACCGAAATTCTGGTTAAAGTTTAAGTTAAAAGTTACATTATGTTTGCGTTTGTGATAAATAAAAATTTCTTCTAAGTTTAGTATTCAATTTTTAGAGTGCTTTATCGGAAAGTGAAATCGTCGAACAACTTCCGAATGTTTGCACCATTAAGGAAATTATTAATGTTGTGAAAATTTTAAGTGGAGATAACAAAAGTCGCTTAGGATACTCGAAAAGTGTTTACCTCTTGCAAGAAAATGATATTTCCGCACATAAAGAGTAAGTAAAATATGTTTTGATAAGACGAGTACGAATATTACGTTAACGAGCCGAATCAGCAAGATTTTCAATCATCATCTCCCAATGTTTGCACGTCATATTTTAGAAAATATATTTGCATTATCCCATTTAACATTTCCTATAAGAGTAACGTACTTTACCAATCAAAAAGCAAAAAATAATCGAAGAATTAAGTTTTTTTTCCTTCAAATATTCTCTACAAAACTTTAATTCACTCTATCGGCGATATAGAAATCGTATAAATCATGATGTGCAGTTTATCTAGAATGCTGGAAGTATTGAAAAAATGTTGACTTATCGCGGGCCAACATTTCTATACAAAACTTCCTATCCTACCAAATAGTTTCGCCGCGATCTATGGCATGTGACCAAGCACGTCATATGCCGAAATTTTATTATTCATTCTCGCTACTCTAAAGGTATAAGAACGAACAGGAATTTCTCGCACAACTTTATGGCTAGATGATATTAACGGAAAGTTCACATTATTAGTTGTGGTTTACCTCGTGTTCCGGTTCAACACCGATTAAATGCATTTTTATTTTTTTGAATTTCTTTTTATAACTTTTTGATTTTTTTTATCAATGTTAAATTCATAACCTAAAGTTGTTTTTTTAAATACAGAAATTGAAGTATTTTAAATGTGCAAAAATTTTACTTTATGATTAGATACATTTATATTAATCTACGATAATTTTATGTATTAATCGCAAGTATAATGAGCATAAAATATTCAATGAAACTCTACTAGTAACGGGATGCATATTTAAATAATATACTCAAATCTCGATATAACGCCAATGAGTACTTGTGAACTGGTCTTCCCCATAGATAGATACTAATAAGTATCTATGAATTAAACATAATAATGTTTGCAATGCAAAACTGTATCACCAGATTACGTGAGGTTTCAAACCTCATTACTTCTTACAATTCCAATTGTTTGAGGTACTTCAAGTTTAATGCCACACTCGATTGAGTGTCAATTTCAGAGGTGAAACAAAGTTTGACTTTATTTAGATATTCTAATTTGTATATGTTATACATTCATAATAGCATCATATAAAATAACTGTTATCTTTTAAATATAGACTCAGGTTAATTAAAAATTTTATAAACAGTTTTAAAAAATGTTAACAATATTAAATGTATTTGTTATACATTCATAATAGCATCATATAAAATAACTGTTATCTTTTAAATATAGACTCAGGTTAATTAAAAATTTTATAAACAGTTTAAAAAAATGTTAACAATATTAAATGTATTTGTTGTCACTTTCAGATTTCTGGAAGAGCTTTCTTATTTAATAAATTCATTCAAGAAACGTAACGAATATCGAAAATATGCTTACACTTGGATGAATCCCGAAGTTATACCCGATCATATTATTGCATGATTTATACTACAATAAAAGCCAATGCGGTATTAATCCGTCGATAAAAATTATATATCTTGTAATAATTTTAATATTTTCAACTGGAACTGGAAACTTTAAATTGATTTCACGTTATAATTCAATAAGTATATATAATGTATTATTTATAAATATGATAGAAGTTATTTAAAAAATAAAGGTGTTAAGTCAAGTAGTGCCATCTTTCGGACTAAAATTAAAACCTTTTCTCTCCCCTCGGACTAAAATTAAAACCATTTATTAAATCTTAAATATTAAAAAAAAACCCCTTCTTAAAAAATAAATTTCAGACAACGTGAATAAAGAGACTTATGAAATGTACAGTTATTTTTATTTCTGCATTTTCGATAACAAATTTTCTATAGTAATGTTTTAGTATAGTATAGTAATGCTTTTTACCTGTCTCCTTAAAAATAAATTTTGTTTACCCATTATATTTTTAAGAACTACATAAAAACGTAACAGTTCACATGGGTAGAAATTTAAATAAATTGTGACATTACGTACAAAGAAAAAACATATAAAGATAGAATATCTTTGGAATGCTTATATATAAATGTTAAATTACTGTCAGAAATAAAAACCAAATTTAACCAACTTGACAATATATTGCATTTTATATAGATCTTAAGCCATTATTGTCTTCTGTTAGACAAAAACATAAAGTAAATATGTTCAAACTTATATGCAAAGAGAAATATTTAAGACTAGTATTTTCATTTCTTTTTAATTTTAAAATGACAGCAGATTTTGTGGATGATAAAATCCACTATTTAAAATGGCACTGAACATGTTTTAATACTGATTTGCATTAATAATGCAAACTTTGACGAATTCTCATTTATGATTTTTCAAATCTTTATAAAATTATTATTTACAAATCAGTGGAAGACTGGTTTGAAAGGCTTAACAAAATATATTGAATAATAAAGAAAAATCACAAATTTCTATCAATACCATCAATTTTATTTACTCAACATTTGAAAGCCAATAATTTAGCTTTTTAGAATAAAATAACTGTTCTAAACTTGCAATACAATGCCTTTTAAATTATAAAACCAGTCATTCCCAATAATATCTGTTACAATATTCAGAACATTTTTCTAATTGTTTTTGATTTATGAACTTATAATAAATAAATTTAGCACAAGTGCTTTAATATTTTAATATAATGAGTTATCTTATTATAACAGACTGTGAATGCATTTCATTATGTTTTGTTTTTTGCAATTAAAACGTTTTATTAATAACATTTCATTTTTACCTTAATTAATGAGGTTTTTTTTATGTCTGATTTTCCAAACATTTTTAATATGGAATAAATTTATTTATATGATTAAGTATTGATAACAGTTTAACAGCAAATTGAATTAACAATTTAACAGCAAATTAAATCCAAATTGAATAAATATTCAGTATCAGACATAATTTGTTAAGAGAATTTATTTATTAGATTTATTATATGCTAGAAAATGTTAATATGACAATCACAAAATCAAAAACCTGTAAAAATGATTAAAAAAAAACTCACATTAGCAAATGTTTTTCTCCATTTCTGCTGGTTTTTGGTTTTGTGACAGTAGTTTATTTAAAGTTTAACAAGTATTTACCAATTATTATCTGTTAGTATTTTCATAATTCTGTATATATGGAAAACATCTAATAAATTAAATTGTTGATGTATAAACAAAAATTTGTTTATATTTTATGTATTTTGTATCTTTTAATATATTAATTGTTTTCCTCAAAATGATTCTGTTAAGAAAATATTATAAAATATAAAATATTCAAGAAAGTATTTACAAAACCTAAGATAATTAATATATCTTAGGTTTCTTAGATACTTTGCTGAATATTTTATTATAGTTTATAATATTTTGAAGAATAAATAAAAATTATGGTTAAGTAGTTAATCAAAATATAGGAATAAATCAGTTAATTCTTTATAGATAACTGTTAAAACAGTTTAATAAGATCTTACTTTTATCTGTTAGAATATGAAGCTGAATTACAGTTAACTGTAGGATATTTTTAATTGTTAATTTCAATTTATTATTTAGAATGGTTGTTATAATTATTGAAATGTGTACATTATCCTAATAAAATTAAAATAATTATTTATACTGTTACTTATAAAACAATCAGAATATATATTAGAAAATTAAGAGTGTTGTTATTAAAAACTTTACTTAATTGGCTATGTATATTATATTTAACTCACTATACTATACTATATATAATGTTTAATTTTAATTTATTGAAATTAATTAATGAAACAATAATTTTAAATCAGAACTTTTGTCAACTTATTTTCAAAATTAAAATAAATTGTGAAAAGTTTTGTATTGATTTTTTTTTTTTATTGAGATTGTGATTATGAATGTAGTAAAAAGTTTAATTAACGGATAAAGGAAAAGGAAGAGGGTTTGTCCATTATCATTATTCTTAGAAAACATATCTATTGATTCCTTTTTAACTGAATGATAATAAAAATAAACTATTTTATGATATTGCTTTCTTATTTACATTTTAACAAGATCTTATTTTATTTATATTAAAATGATTTATTCTAAATTTTTTTAAGTTTTTTAAAAAAAGGAATTGTACATTTTTCCAAATTTATGATGATAAAATTTTTTAATTAAAACTTCCTTTTTGATCAAGTTTTAATATATTCTTATAATTATTTTCAATGTAGATTTAAGTTATTTATTTAAATAAATTTTAATTTTTTGAATTTACTAATAAATATCAATATAATTATTAAATATTTTACAATTGATTTGAATGTTCTTATTTATATTATTGGTAATATCATGTTTTAATTTTAATAGTATGAATATGATTATAGTCACTTTATTTTTTTAGACCAATTATTATAGTTTAATTCATTATTNTTGCCATTTTCCATTAATTGTGATGAGGAATTCAAAAATGTAATAAAAAATGGGGATCCATGACTTTGTTTTTATGATATAAGGCTATGGCATAAGCACACATGACTTTGTTAGATGATGTTCCACAGTCATTAGCACAGCTTCTATGGGTTTACAGAATTGTGTTTATTCTCAAAATTTGATGGGCTGATTTTGATAATACTTTGCCATTTTCCATTAATTGCAGTGAGGAATCCATAAATGTAATGAGGGTCCATTTAAATGTAAAGAATAGAAGTCTGTGACTTGGTTTTTAATGTACAGAGGTATTAAAGTGACAATATCCATGCTCTCTGATGTGACTGAGTGCCCCTAATAGAATTTAGGCCTAAGAGTCAAAAATAACAGCATCATGTGTGTCTAGTGGAAAATAAGCACAAAAAATGAACAAAACACAAGAATAAAGCAATCGATGGTGATTGCTTTGTTTTTGAATCATTTCTTTATGTTGGCAAGTGCAAGGATTCTCTCTTCATACTCTGCCTATGCAAGGATTGTGTCTCCCATGGCCAGCAGGTACAAGGATCACCTCTTCTGTGCCTAACAAATGTAGTGATCACTTCTTTCTTTCCTGTTCTGCATCAATTCTATTGCAATATGACAAAGTGACAATGTCCTAGTTAAAAATTTATGTACTAAAATGTATTAACACATTTTAAATAATTAAAACAGCTAATAGACTTTATCAAATTTTTAATTTTAACCATATAAATGTTTAGAAATGCATTGTCATATTAAAATGTAAATACATGGAGTGTAAATGTATTTTAAAATGTGTTTAATATTTTGGTATTGTTTTCAGATATAAATGAATGTGATGAAAATGCTTGTCCAAGCAATAGCATATGTATCAATACAATAGGTTCTTACAAATGTGATTGTGAATATCCTTTAATTTGGCAAAATGATCAATGTTACTGTAAGTAAATTAATATCAATCATTATAATATCAATTTGATAAAAACATTTCAAATATAATTTAATTTTTCAGATATAATTGGATTAAATAAAAATTATATTAATGATGATTAATATGTAAATACCATAATTGTTTTTTCATTTGCAGTACTTGATATTGATGAATGCAGTGAAAATGATTTACTTTGCCCTAATAATACTATTTGTATCAATACTGTTGGCTCCTATGATTGTTATTGCCCTTTTGGTTATTATGGAAATGAAAATGGAACATGGTGTGAAGGTAAATAACTTATATAAACATGCATGCACATAATAAATATTATTATTTAAATTTTAATAGTAACTGATTTATTACTATTACTTCATTAACATTTTTGAATTTGCCACTACTTTTTCCTGTTATTTTGTTTTCTGCAGTCTATAATTTTTATGCATTTTATGAAAGATTCTCTAAGAGAACAAAATCATTTGAATAACTTCTTAACTCATTTGAATAGTCCATCTTAGTTTGTTTTTTTTTCCTTATTAGTTTGATACATAGTTCCGTATGTTTCTTTGAACTGGGCAATTTTTTATAAACCTTGAATTAAACACAATTCAAATCAGAATTATTTTCAATATTTTTTATTTCATCATATGAAACGTTTTACACTTTTTTATTATAAAACCAAGTTAATATAAAATTTGAACAGATGAATAAAAATAATTTTATGTAGTTGATTTTTCAAAGATGGATCAATCCAGATATTTTGGGTCCAGCTAGCACTCCCTGTCTTCCCATTGTTGGCCTAGTTAAGTGTGATGGGAATGATTGCAAAGCCCTTCTTAGTTTTTGTAGGATGAAAAGAATTAAAAATGACTTGTCAGAAGATGAAATTTTAAAATCTCTGTACATATCAATATACCCAATCTCTGTTTTATAATCATGCAAATTGAGTTCAACAATAACTTCTGACATATCTAAATGACAAAATTATGATTTCCATTCATTAATTTATGACATAAAATCATCATAATAAACAATAACAGCAAACTAAAATAAACAATGTAAATATGTGAAAATAAATTATTACAGCTTAGTGTGAAGTATTGTAAATTAATTCTATTAGTGATTAGAGAATAAACATAAAATGAGCAATTGTAAAAAATAAAAATAGATACTTTTTTTTTACAAGCAGCTATATTCTATTAAAATATTTATCATACATAATTTAAATATTTCATCCAAATACCTTTTTCTTATATTATAAATTAATAATTATGATTTAGAAAATTGATTGCTAAAATATTCTATAGATTGATATTCATGCCAAATATTGTATAGTAGGACAGAGAAATCACTGAGTTTGGTGTTATATACAGTGGTACCTCAGGATACGAACGCCCCAGCATACAAAATTTTCAGGATACGACATGAAATTCGATCATCTTTTTGCTCCGCGATACGAACAAAAATTCACCATACGACATTACATTAGTTTGCATTTTTCATTTGTTTTCCTTACTACAGTTATTTTTTTTAATGTATTACTTGGCTTTAATTTGAGTATGTTTTTCGCATTGGAACGAATTATTTGGTTTAACATGTAATCGTATGGGAAAAGTTGATTTACCTTACGACATTTTCGTGATACGATCTCAGTTTCGGAACGGATTAATTTCGTATCTTGAGGTACCACTGTAATGCCAAACTCAGTGATTTCTCTGTCCTACTATGATTGCTAAAATTGAAATGTTTTGAAGGGTTATGAAAAATGTTAGAAAATATTTTTTTTATTACTCGTAGAGAAAATATTTATTTATAAAACTGAAGATATTTGTTGTCCAAATTCATTCTGAAATATGACTATTGCTGAGGACCCATGAAGACTATGAAAGATAATTAGGATAGTCAAGAAATCAATTAGTCTTTTTAGTAATTAAATTATCAAAATATATATTCACTTGTCCTCAATTTTTGATTCATCTACTCAAATTTCTGAAAAATGGTAATCTTTAGTTTCTATGTCAAATAGCCCCTCTTTTTAACAAATTCAATATAATGCTAATGGAATTATTGATATGATTAAAATCTTTAACTACTATTGTATATTATTGTAAGTTGTTGTTGCTAATTTTATAGTTATAATTAAAACTTTTATTACACTATTAGGAGTAATTATTCTATTCTTCTAATTTAGGTTATTATTTACAATTTACATTTTCTATTTTTTTAATTTTCTGACATATTTTATTATTAATCATATAGAAAATTAAATGATACAACTGGATTAAATATTGGGCTAGAGCTTGGATTGGCAGTTACTCAAGCTGTATTATTTGATCATTCTTTTATTATTGTTTTACATTTACATATTACAAATTTACAAATTTCATTTTTAGTCATTTCTATGTTAGAACTAATATAATTAATGAAAGAATTAACACTTAATTAAAATTTTTAACAGAATAGTATTTAATTTAACAAAAATAATTTATATGCATTTTTTATTTTTCCATATTAGTAGTATTTAATATTTATTTGCTTTTAGAATATTTTATTTTTTTCTTAAAATTGAAAATAAATAATAATATAAAATATTAATGACTTGAAATTCATTATTTTAATAGATATTGATGAATGTTTGGATGATATTCCTAATTGTAGTCCTGATGCTACTTGTTTCAATACTCCTGGATCTTATGAATGCCACTGTAAATCTGGATTTACAGGTTCAGGATTTGAATGTACAGGTATATTTGTATTCACAGTGTTCACTATGTAATAGAGTGAACTAAAAGATTCATTAGAAAATAAATTAGTATAATTTTATCCAAATATTATTGAAAATAATTTGTATTGATCAAGTTTATAGTAGAAACAGTTATAAAAGTAATAAAAAGTGATATTAATATATTAAAATTTTTTAATTTTTCCATTATAATATTTATTAGACAGTTTTAATTAAATTACTTATTTCATTCATAAAAAATTTCATTTTAAGTAAAATTTATATAAATTTCATTTTTTTTTTTTTTTTGAAAGTTTATCTATATAATGAAGGAAAGCACAGGGTGTTGGAAAAAACTAACAGATTGCAGATACCCTTATTTATTTTAGGAAAATTGTCCTAATTAGTGAGCAAACTTAAAAAGATTTCTCATCTTTAAGAAATCTCAATATGTGCATCATGCATTACTCTTACAAATTGAAATGATATTCAATTTTTCTTGTTGTTTCAAGTGTTAGATAACATGTCTTGAGTGACAGTTTTGATTGTGTTTATTATGCAACCTTTTAATATTTCAATATCTGTAATAGGTGTTTGATAAACTATGTCCTTAAAATAACCCAAAAAAAAGTTTGAAGAGGATATGTTTGAAAAGGTGCTAGGGTGAAAACTAATTTGGTCCATCTTGCCTCATCTATCACTTAGTAAAAACTTTTTAATAAATTTCTACTTGCAGCAACAACAATGCCCTGTGTTTTTGTAATGCAGGAAAAACTTTTTTAAGTTTTGCTGATGATTACTGAAAACCATATGTATTTATCTATTTCAGTTAAATACATAATATTTTTTGTAATCCATCAGTTCTTTTTCAAATACCATGTATTTCCTATTCCTTAATATAACACTTAAAATTTTGCAAGTGATTCCTGCATGATACCATTATATATATGAACATTTTTAAAGGGAAATTTCTAATTTCAGTCAGCTACTTATTTATAGTGTGGCATATGTTAATTAATGTTTAATTTAAAAATTTAATTTTTTTATGAATTTAACAAAGTCAAATTTTGCCTGTTTTTAACTTTTTAATATTCTTGCTAATAAAAACTATTTGAGTTGAATTATACTAATAAATATACAAAAAAATACATTATTAATGTTTACATGCAAAAAATATTCTTCAAGAAAATGCAAATATAAATGATAATTATTGCTATATAATGGAGAAGAGTACAAAATATGTATAAATATAATTCATAAATTTCTTTATTATATTAATAGTAAAAAATTTTTAAATTAATAAATATATAATTAAATTAATTTTAATTTTTTCTTCCATCTTAACTAAAATTACAATGAAAATTAAGAGATTAATGTTGACAAAGAGATTAGTTACTTAAGTAAATTAATTTTATTTATTAAAACACAGAGATAATGTATAAATATAAATAATTATTTATATTTATTTAATTATTCATTTATTATTGTACTTTTATTTATTTTTACAGATGTTGATGAATGCAGTGAAAATAAACATGTATGTAGTCATATCTGTATAAATTTTCCTGGAGGATTTGTTTGTAGTTGTCAGGATGGATATATTTTANATAATCATTTGGTAATAAAACTGTAAGAGAAATTGTGAATGCGTTAAATTTCTTTCATTCCGATTTCAAATTTTAATGAGTAAAAGAAAACGTTTTCATTGTTCGCAATTATTGATTTGACATTAAAATAACATAACTTGCGTCATTTAAATTGTTTATCGTGCTTATTATTATCCTACGCTTATTGATTTTTAAATTAATCACTCGTCGACGTTAGTACCCGTAATTTCAAGTGGTCGTCACTACAAAGTAGGTATTTAAAGAGGTGTTCAAGTCGGAATAAAATACGATTTTCGAGTCAGAAATTTTATTATTTTAAAAAAGTGCAAATTTAATTTAAAATCGTTTCAAGAAGAATTTCCTGCAAAATAATTGACTTTATAAAACAAGTACGTGGTGTCCAGCAGATGACGTTAAAAATGTAATGCTTTTTCTATGGAAAATTCCTTTCCCAAAAAATCTCGAAAACGGAAGCAGATAGAAACAAACAGAATTTTACGTTAGAATTCTATTTAATTCTTCTGTTAACTTACGGTTCAGAATTTACAATACAGAATTTTTTAATTTTTAAAATCGTTGGAAATTAACGAATTCGATTGTCAAAATTCTGAGCCATACGTTAATGGAATTAAATAGAATTCTAACGCAAAACTGTTTGGTTCTATCGGCTTCCGTTTTCGATATTCCCATAGAAAAAGCATTACAGTTTTAACGCCATCTGCTGGAAATCGCCTGTATAACCGAAGAGGTTGCTAATAGGTCTACAACATAATAATAATAAAAATAATAAATAAAAATACAACACTCATTACAGTTTTAGAAATTAAATGCAACAGTGGAGAACAACATCTCAAACTTCTTGACACACAAAAAAAAATATACATAAGGCTAAGTATTTTCTAGGAATTCATTAAGTCTATTTTGGTTTTGTCTGATCTCATGTGATGTACACGGATGAAATAAAAACTGTATGCATTTATACAAGTGCAGCTAAATCACATATAGAAATTACATAAAAACACTTGCTCCAATGACATTCAAATGGAGTTTGGCCTAGAAAAAGATAAAACACTTCATATTGAAAAATGAATTCTGAATAAAAATCATTCCACTCAGAAATGGAGATATCACTGACATATTCATTTGGACACATAAGTCATTCTGGTATTGACATATTCATTTGGAGTTGTACATTGGACACACACAGAACTAGGACACAACTCCAAAGGAAAATACAAACAATATTAATAATAAAACAACAAATACCACTCTAAATCATCTGTAGAAAGTTATTGGGTTCAAGACCAGACAGAACTAGAGTGGACTTAATAAATCTCCCTGAAAAATGTCTTGCCTTATATATATTTCATTTATTTTAGTGTATTTGTTGTGAAGCCTGAGATTTAGTGTTGTTCTCCAGTGTTGTATTGTTCTCTAGAAATGCTATGAATTTTGTGTATATTTTGTATATATGTAGTACAGTAGAGCATTGATTATCTGAATACAAACCAACTGAAACATCAATTAACCAAAAGCATTCCAATTGGCAATTGCTAGTGCTGTGGCGCTGCAGCACTCTCTCCCTCCCTGCCAACCTAAACTGAAGTCCTACTTTAATGTACTACTTTATGTAAGATATGTATTTGTAAGACACATAATACAAAATATATACAATACAGTTTTGTGTTTAATATATTTTTTCGTAAATGATCAATTATCCAAACAACCCCAGTCCCGAATTGTTTCAGATAATTGATGCTCTACTATATTTGTAATAAGCATATGTGTAGGATGCTGCAAATGCTTTCCTCTTCAGCCTTTCATTGCATTTTTGGCTCTGCTGAGGAAACTTCTGTCTTCATCTCATCTGCAATTTTGCAGAACTTTGCTTGAGTAGACTTGTTCATCTGGGTTCTTTCTTGTTGAAGCCTGATGACGTCTTCCAGTTTTCTTTTAGACAATGCTATTATTCTTTAGAGAAATAGTAACTGGAATAGAGATAGGACTTCTGAATTAAATTTTCATGAAGTGCACAATGGATCTTTTAGATCAAAGTACTTTTGGCTTGTCCCCATTTTTTTAGTCTACAGTCTAATATTGAAATATTATTTTTTTCTTAATGTGAATTTTATTATTTAATTTAATAGTATAATATTCTGTTAACCATATATATATTTTTATTTATAAGTAACTACAGTAGAGCGTCGTTTATCTGAATCAATTGGGGACTGGGGTTGTTCGGATAACTTATTTTTCGGATAACCGATTATGTACGAAAAAATAAATTAACCTATCCCATGTTGAAATTTTTCTCCATTGCATGTGTCTTCACGTTGAATTTTCGTCGATGTTAAGCCTAATGTAAACTTTTTAAAATAATAACCGTGGCTATTGTATCGTTAAAAATTATTTCTTTATTTTTTACAAACAAAATAAATATATTGAAAAAT